CACATACAAATGTATGTTTTACATAAAAGTGATTATTGCACAGTACAATTGCAAAAAAGTGTTTATTTTGCACATGGCAGGTCTTGCACAAGATTTCAGCAGATTGCAACAGCATGTATAGTGTGGGGGTCTACCAGGGCCTGGTGGTTGTACAGATACCATGCCTCCCAACTCAGACAGCAGACAACAGCATCTACACCTGGGACTAACAATATAATAATAATAATATAACTAATTATATGGCTGACATTAAAGGTAGAAATGCTACTGAGGCATGGTTGTGCCACCTTTATGGGAGTGCCAAGTGAATTCAATGAACAAAGACAAAAAACTGGTTAAATATCAGATTTAACTGGAGGTTTGAAGACATTTGAGAGTAATTATTCCTATTTCATTTATAGTTGCTCATGAAGACAAATCCTCTCCATTCAGTCCATATTTTTTTTAATATTTTGAATAGTTTGATTTAAGGCCATGAAGCTGCTCTGGGTGTATATGTGTGATCATTTGATAACCCCAATGCAATGCAACTTTGTCAATCCATGAAAACAGATATGTGTAAAACATATTTGAACATAAAATAAATAATTTAATTCATAATCAAATAAAGACACAAATAAATGAATAAGGAAATTGTCTACATGGCATACAGAGCACATTATTATTCTTCAGTTCTTGTTTACCAGGTTGATGTCTGCGCTTTGTATCTGTGATGTTTCTACCCTTCTGTTACTGGAAGAAGTAATCAGACTACTTTGAAAATCACATTCCTGCTGCTTCTTCTTGCAGGATCTTGAGTTACTGCCATTAAAGGGCCCATGTCATGGCCATTTCCACTGATCATAATTACATTGTTGAGGTATACTAAAATAGATTTATACTGTGCAATTTTCCAAACTCACATTGGTTTCGCATACAGCATCTCTGTAAAGTATGTGTATTCAGCAGTATTCACTCTCTCCACTAAACGACTCGTTGGAGCTCTTGCCCCCCCCTCCCTGTGAGCCTAGTGTGCTCCGATTGGTCAGCTCGGCCACTCTGTTCTGATTAGTCAACCACCAGAGAGGCTCCGCCCATGTCTAACAGTGCTTTTTTCGGCTCGCTCTCGGAACATCAGTCTTATAATGGCGTCGGTACAGCCGTATATTTTATACGCTAACTAACCGAACTGTACCTACAACTGTTGTTATAGAAGAGTGTGACGGCCCTAGGGCCTTTGTGCAGGTGTGTTGCAGGTCTTACGATGGGGTGGAGCTGAAGAGGCAAATCAGCGCGATCACGGACACCTGGCCGGAGCCGAGGTGCTATTAAGCCCAGCTGCCCGGAGTCACACGGCGGCCCCTGTCTCTCCAAAGCGGCTGCAGAAGGACGAACTCGGCGATTCTCTCCCCGACCACCTATCTCTGCATTTACCACAATAAATGTGCCGTGGTTTTGTAAACTCGTGTATGTCTCCTTGTCTTTCCGTTGTGGCCTACGAGCCGGTCATAACAAAGAGTAAGTTATTTTTACCTGTAATAAACTACTACTGTTTGATGAGAAATCAAATAATGGTTTGCTATATATGAATGATATGTTATAGGAGCAAATAATTCAGGGAAGAAAGGATAGGCCTACTAAGTATTTCCATTAAACTTTATTTTTAGAAATGTACAAAATGAACATAAATATACATATATACACGGTATATCATCAATTCCTCCCGTTGTCGGCATCTTGCCTATCGCAGCCGGGGCTTTTTAGGACGATGCATCAGTGTGGTAGTCCCGTCATGTATTGTCCGGCAGGATCTGGCTGGACGAAATCAAATGCAAATCACAAAATATTAGAGAAACTTAGTTGTTTTAGATTCGTTAGTAGTAGTTGTGGTAGGAGTGTGGATCTATCTAATTCATCTATCTAATGAACACAGTAAGCTTGCCAGCTAATATGCTAACCTAGCTTTGTTTACTTTGGTAGCTAACACGATATGAATGCTAGCTCGTAATAAAACTACTATGAACAAAAGCTAGTGGTTCATATTAGGCTAGCAATAACGTGTTTATAATTGCAATCTTATACGGGTAGTCTGCTACGTTCGGTCATTCATTGTAACTGGCATGAATACATTGTTTTGCGCTAGCATGTATAGCTAGCCTCGTTGCATGCAGTATGTACATGTACTGTCACAATGTACGGTAAATCACCCGGAATATACTGTATGAGTATTCCGTGTGTGACTGCATACATTCTCCTGCCATGACAAACATGTAAGGCCATCTGCTGACATTGTAGTTGATATATTTAAACGCTAGCAACATCGTTAGCCCAGTAAGCTGGGCTTGTTTAGTGTAATAAAACCACTATGAACAAAAGCTAGTGGTTCATATTAGGCTAGCAAGAACGTGTTTACAATTGCAATCTTATACGGGTATTTTCATTGTAGCTGGCATAACAAAAAAATGTTCCCGAGCAAACTCATGTCTAGCTCCGTTGGTTAGCTCGGTAGCATACACGCTACGCCAGCTATAATGTAATTACGTTTCGCGACTGACCGTACGGCAAATCACCCGGAGTATACTGTCTATGAGTATTTAGTGTGTGAATGCAGACATTCTCCTGCTATGAGATACATGTATGTAAGGCCATCTGCTGATATTAGAGTTGATATATGGAAATGCTAGCAACTTAGTTAGCACAGTTAGCACTGTGTCAATGGCTTAGCAGTCCGACACAGTTTACACATTTAAACAGTCTTGTTTGATAAATACACAAATAACAATGCAAACTTACAGGTTGTGTACCCGAATCTTCCCCTGCTCCAAACGGTCCAAACAAACTAGGAATAGCATCGTCCTTCAGTTTCAAATGCTGTGCATATCCGGCCTCAAACTGGGCAATGTTTTGGAAGCTTTCGTCTGTGAAATGCCATGCACACAGTCACGTTCTTCGAACCTCTGAAGGAACAGTGTTAAAAAGAAATTTCAACCACTGACTTCGTCGTGGTTCTTCCGTCGGTAGGACAAACAGCTCAGATTTCTCCTCACATTTCAGGAAACAGGTCCTTGGCATTGGCATGACTGGATCGATTGTGAACTGAACCAGAGCTTCCAACAGTAAATGTTAGGCTGGCAGAGGGTGCGGCCAGCGCCGCTGGGTGTGACCATAGCTCTTCCGGATTGGTCCATTTGTTCCGGGTACAGAATCAAATGGACAGTGACGTATCTCCAACGAGGCGTTTTGGGGAGGTATTTTCTGTGTTAGAGTTTTACTCGCTACAGGGTGTACTTTGAGGGTTTTGACTCTGCACACTGTTTACATGCATAAAAACCTTCATAACACACAAGGGCAATAACCGGAAAAGCATGACATGGGAGCTTTAAAGGTTTTTCGTTACACTGTTTTGAAATAATGTTTGAGTTAATTTTTTGCAAGCGCTTACAACTATATGTTGCTTGGTTAGCCGGCAACCAATCATTATTTTCAACAGAGATTAATCTGTCGATTATTTGTGACCTGCTAAAACAAAATCAGTCACATCGACCCCAAAACACATTTCGAGTTGCATACACGTTTAAAAGAGGAGATTATTAGCTTTCCAATGATATCCTTACTGTTTTTGTTCTCCAAATATTCAGAAAAATGTTTTACATAACATAATAGGCGCTTTCACACCAAGTACTTTGCCATACTTTGTTCATCAGAACTTAGTTCATCAGAACTCTTTAGTTCTGATGAACTAAAGAGCAGATCACGTTCACACCGGAATAAGTCCCTGAGGGAGGATTAGGCAAATGAAGCCGCTGACGTCACTTCTTCTTCTTCTGCTTTGGGTTTACTGGCAGGCTGCAAACAACTTCACGGCGTATACTGCCACCCGGAGTCCCCGGCCGGAATTCCCCAGAGTTGGGGACTGGCTTCAGTAGAAGCTGCTGGGACTCCCAGCAGCTTCTACTGGAGCCTTCCGAGTAAATCGCAAGAACGCCGACACCTCCTTATCTCCACCGCTCCCATGTTTTCTTTTGTGTTGCCATAAGTTAGTCTCTCTGCGTTTGTGCGCTGGGCTAATGCTAATGCTAATAATGCTAATGCGAGGAAAATAAAATGGCGGCTTCACAAAACTTTTTGGGAGTTTTACGGGGCGTGGTTTGCAATCCGCACAGCAAATCAGAAATGGGAAACTTTTTCTCCCATGAAAGTACCTGCTCTCTAGCAGGGACTGAAAAGGGGGTGAAAAGGTTCTCATGAACTAAGTTCTAGTTCCGTATTTTTTTGGTGTGAACGCAAATTTTCGGAACTGTATCGGAACTATACTGGGAAAAATACTCCGGTGTGAAAGCGCCTAATGACTGTAACCAAGACAAGCTTTTGAAAAAAAGCCCTTCATTTGCTGACATTATTTTAGCCTCTAGGGAGCTCAGGACCAAGGTCCCCTATTATGCAAAATCCACTTTGTCATGTCTTTTCTACATAAACATGTGTTAAAAGACTCAGGAAAGGAGTTTCAGGACAAAATATTCTCTCTTTTTTTCCTGATCCATTTATATAAGAACCTGTCTGAAAATCAGCTGATCAGATTTTGGTCACTTTGTGATGTCATAATGTTTTTTGGGTTGTGTAACCATTAGCCAATAACCAACCAAGGTAACCCCCCCCCCCACCTTATCAACTGAATCTCCTCCTAGAGCACCATTAGCCGCGTTCACACCGGAGTACTTTCACCGTACTTTTCGCGTTTTAGTTCCGTGAGTACCCCTTATGTCGCGTTCACACCAAAAATCGTACTTAATCTCGGGTACTTTTACCCCCATTTTTAGAGCCAGCTCAGAGAGCGTACTTTTCTGTGGGTGAAAAGTGCTCCAAAAGTGCCCCAGTGCTGATTGGCTGGGCGAATTGCAAACCACGCCCCGTAGAACTGTGGAAATGTTGTGTAGAGCCGCCATTGTTTTGCCTCGCTACAACAACCTCAGCGCACCAAGAAGAGTAGTTTGTTTTTTTAACGCAGTGAAATAATGACAAACATGAAGAAATCCGAGCGATGGACTGATGAGGAGGTATCAGCGCTTCTCTACATCTACGCCGACGACACGACGCAGGGAATGCTGTTGAAGCCAGTACCCAATTCCAAGATCTTCGATCGTTGTTCGAAGTTGTTGCTTGAGATGGGAATCTTGCACAGCGCCATGGCATGCCGGCTGAAAATCAAGAAACTCCGCCAGGACTACAAGAAAACTAAAGACTGGAACAATAAAAGTGGTAACGACCGGAGGACCACGAAATGGTTTGACCGCTTGGATGCTTTGCTTGGGAGCAGACCATCATTCAAGGGTCCAGCATCGAGCCTTGATTCGGGCACTATGGCATCGGAGGCCGCTCCAACGGCGAATTTAGAGGTCGACAACGACGAAGGTAAAAGCAACTACATGCACTGGGGTTTTAATCTGCACAATAATGGTCTCAGATGTACTTTTATTTGCTCAGTAGATCAAGCTAGGCTAAACTAGCTAACACTGGCCCCGAGCTGGCTAATAACATCTAGCTATTAAAACGTTTTGACTAGTGAATAACTGTGCAGTGTTTCTGTAATTTGCTTCACTAACTCATGGAACTAATCATGTGTTTCAGGCGAGGAAAATCAGCAACAACACTCGGTATTGGAAACAAGCGAGGTTCTTGGCGTTGGAGATCAGAGCTTGCTCGCTTGCTCGTCCCCCTTACCGGCAACCAAACGCAAAGGTACACACACTGTAACTTTGTCTTGAAAGAACGTTACGCATGGAACAGATGTTCACAATCATGTTTATTTCCTTCTTGGTACAATTATGAAACAGCGTGAAAGAGAACATTTCGCGCCTTTTTACTCTCTTACAAACATTGTAAACATCCGGGCTAGAGGTCACATGACTTCCGGTAAGAAATCGCTTCCACTTGGAGCATATATCGCCACCTACTGTTGATTTATTAAATCCTTGTCCTCAGACCAGTGCTTTTGAAGAATTTGAAGATCAGCTTGTTTGCTTCATTTCTTGATTTACTTTCATATATTGACTTGAAATCCATGTCCTTGATGTTGAGTTGTTCCAGTGCAGTTATCAGAATGAGTCTTTGTCTGTTATAATCCAGGTAGCTAAAAAATACATGATGTATGTCTCTGGTTGTTGATCTTGTATCTTGCTTTTTTTCCCCTCTTAGGAAAGCGGACACAGGATGCACTTTTCCTCGAGACCGTCCAGGCGTTGGAGGACCAGCGTGCCGTGGCGAATGAGTCGCTGCGCGTAGATCAGATGGTGCAGTTCAGCCAGACCCAGGAAGCGGAGGCCAGAATGATCACCTCGATGGAGCGCCAGTCAGAACTGGCGCTGCAGCAGATGGAGCGCCAGCGGCACCAGGATGAAGTGTTGGCGCTGCGCCAGGAGCTGCGCCAGGAGCGGCAGGATGAGCAACAAGCGGCATTTAACACTGGGTTTCTGGAAGTGCTTTCCCAGCTAGTGAAAGCCAACAGGTCTTCCTCCAAATAGTGGCCCCTGTTAATGTCTGCTGCTGAGCCTATGCCTAGTTTAGGCATAGTTTAGTTAAGTTGAGTTTATTTGGTTTTTGTAAATACTGACACACGACACACAACTTTGCACCAAGGTGTGTATGCTGCTGAGTTTTTATTTTATATTATTACTGTTATCACTTTATTTTATACTGACATGTCCAACTGACACTTTGTCACTTTATTTACATTAAAAAATTGTTCTCATTTCATGTTATGTCATATGCTGCAATAAAGAAAACCAACATGGCGATTAAATCATCTTGCTTATTTCTGACACTTTATCTTTAGTGACCTGTGTAGCATCCTATACATCACATGTAAGTGAGTATTCTGATACCATCATGTTTCATCGGTTATAAACTGGCAAAGCTTTATTTGTCATTTATTTATCATCAATGTTGCAACCTTGTGGAGGAATGGCAGGGGCACATACACAAATATGATAATTTATATCATTTTAAAAGACCTAAACTTTTAATTCCCCCACATTTCACACAACACAACATGGAGTCCACTATGGGCCAAAAATGACATGAAAGTTTCCATTTTTTATGTTTTTATTTCCAAAATGACACCATAAAAAAACTAGGGTTGTGAATGCTAGGTTAGTATCATCATAGGGCAAAATAAAGACTGATGCACCAAATGAAACTAGGGGTAGATGGTGACTTAGTTTGAATACAGTCACGTCACGTTCAAAATGGCCCATGTAAAAAGTAAAGTGCTCAAAAGCAGCTAGTTTACTATGAATTCAAGTTTACATTAAAAAGCAGAACAATTATCAATACATTTCTGAAGTGATTTACCGATTTCTACATTCCCCTCGTCTCCGTTTTCCTGATTTGTTGACAGCAGAGCCGTATAATAGAAGAGTTACGACATAAAAATTGTTCTATTTCATGTTATGTCTTGAGAGTGCAATAAAGAAAACCGACATGGCAATTAAACAGATCCTTATTTTATATTGTTATTACTGTTATTATATAGTACAACTGACACTTTATTTTATATTGACAATGTTTAGTGACATGTACAACTGACACTTTAGTTACTAACATGTATGTTTGTTTTGGCTACTATTACACTATTGTAATGTTGCCTGTCTTGACTGCAAAATGAAAGAGAGAAACAAAAGCACCGTAGAAATGATCAGCTTTATTGTCAATAATGTTTACATTTATTGTTTAGAATGTACAATTTACACGCTGTTCAGATGCCTCATAAGGGCTGTGCGTGTGTCTTGCCCCCCAATGGCTGGCGCTGGCCCATCAAGCTGGGTCGCCGGTAAGGCAGTCCATTCGTCCCTGTACTCATCATTACTTTCACAAAGGTTATGTAACACACAACATGCTGCCACCTGGATTTTTATCTTGTCCATCTTGCAGTCGTTTCTTTTCATCAAGCACCGCCACCTGCCCTTCAATCTGCCAAAAGCGTTCTCCACCACCACTCGTGCTCGGCTTGTTTTGTGATTGTACACAAGTTGCTCGGGTGTGAGCCTTCCTTGGAAAGGTTTCATCAGCCATCTTTGCAGGGTGTAGGCTGAGTCACCAAGGATATAGTAACCCACATCATGTCCACCAATATTCTTTGTTACATGAGGAAGTAGACCACCCTTATCCGCAAAACTACACAGTGATGACATGCCAAACACTCTGCTATCATGCATGCTACCTGGTAAGCCAACAAAAACATTCCAAAAGAGGCCTCTACCATCCACAACACCCTGCAGGACGAGCGAGTGCCAGCCTTTGCGGTTGAAATACTCGTTGTGGTATTCCTCTGGTCTCAGAATGGGGATGTGTGATCCATCTACTGCACCTACACACTGTGGCACACCCCATCTGCGCTTAAAAAATAACGCCATCTCCTCTAACTTCTCAGCGTTCGGCCATGGCATGAACTCACAAAGGAGTATGCTCACAACAGAGGAGCAGAACTCGTGCACACAGTAACACACTGTAGATCTGCCGACTCCAAACAAATGAGAGATGGTCCTGTACTCAGAGTTGGTCGCAAGTTTCCACAGTGCTATGGCGATTTTTTTAGCCACAGGGACACACTCCCGGAAGTTGGTGTCGCTTCTCCCCAACGTTGCTTCCAGGCGACTACAGAGGTATTGGAAAGAGTGCTTGGACATTCTGAAATCTTGGATCCACTGCACATCGGTGTACGTCGGCACCACCTTCTCCCACCAGGCTGAGGTTCTATTGTTCACCCAGAGAGAGCGCGGGACACGACGCGTCCCGTAGTATTCGCATATCTGGAACACATACAAAGGCGCAAATTAGCTCTACATAACTCCACAAATCCTACATTAGATAGTATTAATAATTTACTGAACTTACCATTGCTGTTCTTAGGGCGTGAAAACGCTCATCGTCATCAGCCATCCTACGGTGAAACATGGCAGCCATGTGTGCTTTCCGTCGGCCAATCCTTTTCCTAAGGCTTTTAAACTGCCTTTGTTGCTGAAGAAACTTTGCCATAGCATTCGACGTGTGGCGGCTACGGATCCGAATAGGCTCAGGCCGCATTAACGAAGTTACAAAGCTGTATAACATGAGCACAAACAGCACAACTTCAGTCGACTCCATCTCCATCATGTCTGAGGTCGGAAGGTAAACAACAGACAGTATACGCGGGAAGTTTTTCTTCTTCTTCTTCTCTTGTTTTGTAGCGGATTGCAAACAACTTTAAGGTGCTTACCGCCACCTACTGTACTCGCCGTGAAGTGGTTTGTGGCCTGCCAGTAAAGCCAACGCAGAAGAAGAAGAAGTGACGTCAGCGGCTCATTTGCGTAATCTTCCCTCAGGGAAAAGTACTCCGGTGTGAACGCGATCTGTACTAAGTGCCCTGGGGTTAAAAGCGCCGGGGCTCTTAGTGCCGGAACTAAGTACAGGAAAGTACTTGGTGTGAACGCGGCTATTGTGTTTTTTAAACCAATCATCTCTCAGAGGGGCGTGGTCAGCAGCAGCTCATTAGCATTTCAAGCTACAGACACAGAATCAGCACTTTTGAAACAGGGCTGAAACAGAGGGGATTATGGGATGCTGCAATGATCTGTTTGGTGTTTCAGCCAAACACCTCAGAGACAAGTTCTGAATATATCTGAGACCTATAATATATTCTTCAAAAAGATTACACTAGGGGACCTTACATTTTTTCCTCAATACTCAAGTATTTATTAAATCCTTTCAATGCACAGGATCCCTGAACATCACAGATGTGTGTCGCCGCTCTGCTCCTGTCAGAGGGGGATCTTAGTCCATGTTCTTCAGTTTAGGACTCTCAGTATTTCAGGATGAGACACACCAAGGTCAAGTGCTATTGTTTTCAGGATGCCACCGGTATGTAAACGAGAGACAGTGTCAAACCTCAGACACCCCCCCCCGATGCGCACACCCTCGGCTCTCCTATTTCACAGGTCATCACTTCTCTGCCGCCGTTAACATTGGCATCTGTTTCCACCAAGCAGAGTGCGGGTCCAACATCCTCAACACACTCTCACTCCCTAAACGTCCAGGAGCGACGCTTGGTCAGGGTCCTGTGGCGTGCAGTTGGGACGCGCCGAGGCTCCTTCAGCTTCATAAACGGACGCAAAGAGCTTTCAACTGATTGCAATGTATTCCCATCTGCGGCGGGATTTGACGCTCATGGAAGCACGGCATTCGTTTGTGTCGGCGGCTGTTAAAGGCAATGTGAGCGTTCATTCCCATTGGATAACGGAGGATTTTACACCCGGAAGTAACTATTCTCCTTACTGTCGATTGATTTGACAGTGATATCTCCACTACTCATCAACTCAAAAACACCAGATTATCCTTGTTAATTAAACGACATTGATAGGTTTTAGTGTGTGTACAATGCTTTTGTCACGTTTTCCCCTTCAATTCTGAGAAACAAGTCGTTTTCTATGAGTTTTGGATGGCCGAAGACATTACATTACCCACAATCCTCTGGAGCAACCATAGACTGTATATTGCAACAGGCAACAGCTTAGGTTCATGTTAATTTACAAACTCTTCAACTACAACCGTAGTTATATTTAAAAACATGTTAGAAGGCCTCACGAAATACTTTAATGTAAATTAAAATGTAAATGTGAAGGAATGTGTGTATATTAACTGTGGGTTTTTCTCTGGAAGTTTTTCCTTGTACGATGTGAGGGTCAAAGGACAGATGATGCCGTTTTTCTCATACTGATATTCCGCTATGCATGCTGGGATTTGGTGTTTATGCGATGTGAAATCCGAAAACATTTAAAAAAAAAATAATAATACATTATTCCGAGTGTGCTTGCTTTTCTCTTTGAAAGTCATCACATAACGGCATTGTAATACACGTTTCGGCTGCATTAAATATTACATATCTGCCGTAGTTAACTCTATGTATCGAGCCCTGATGACAAGATTTCTAGACAAACAGGAACAACTGCCGCCAAAACTGAAAACTTGACGTGGATCTTAAATATATCAGCAATTAAATTAAAATTAAATTAATTAAAATGATCTTACATTTCTTTTCACACAATACGTCTCCTTGCAGTATCAACACTAATTCGGCTGACTTTTATATTTGATCCAATTGTATTTACGCCATAACGGTGCACAGCTGATAGAAAGGGACACCTACTGGTTAAAGCACGTTATTGCATTTTATAATTGCATTATTAGATATTAATAGGATCCCTATAAAGTATATTCTTTACTCGTCGTTATTCTCTACTAATAGTTAATTAACCTGTTAAGCACTGAGCCTGTTTTTCAGGTCTCAGGCTCGAAAATGACATTCCCAGAACAAATGACCATATCTTCCCTTCTAAAAGGGTTAAATTAATAATCTTTTTTCTCAAAGTAATGATAAACCTGTGAGTTGGATGTAGAAAAGTCAGAATCAATATAGATGTTTTTTATTTTAAAGAAAATTCAGATTTTACATAGTAAAAAACTGTAAATTATAGTGTCCGTCCAAAAATTATTTTTTACTTATAGTGAAAACTACCCTTGGATGATGGGTTAGTCGACTAAAAGCTTTAGGAATCCAAGATTGATGCAAAACAAGTTAAATTTGACCTTTTTAGAGAGATTTAGCCAAAAGAAACCACTTCTGGGGTCATTTGGGTGGATTTGACCTATCTCTGGCCCCCCTTGCTCGATTTTGATGAATGAAATCTCTTCATAACCGCTAGAGCCAATGGAATCGAGGGAAAGTTCTATACACACCAA